GAACAACCTTTTTCAAGCATGAACATTATCAAGAGTAAACTGAGAAGTCGTCTTATTGATGAAAACTTCGAATCATGCCTAAAATTGAAAACAACAACATACAAACCTGACTTACTCAAACTTTCCAAGGAGATGCAAGCACATTGTTCGCATTAATAAATACTTATTAAGTATGAAATTTAGTTTTATTTAGTGTACTACTTATTTAGTGTAATAAAAGCTGACGAAAGAAGCAGATTTAGCTCCCATTTTTTTTAAAAATTGCTGTAATGTTCATATTTGGCTCTTTGGCTAATAAGTTTGCCGACCACTGACCTAGAGCAATGGTTCCCAATTAGTTTTTTTCATCTAAAAAACCCTAACAAACTGAAATTTTTTTCTATAACCCTCGTTGAACAGCTGACCAATTTTGAGTTTACGTCAACTAATGTTCAACTCCGATGTCTTGCAAACTTGAACCCAACCGAGAAGACAAGTCAATACCTTCAATAATGTGTTGCATCAAGTATTGGGAGATGGTGGGATCCTTCGTGGTAGATTTTTTGACGGGACTAACCCGCCTTTGCGTTACATGATGAAGGAAACCACGAAAACCTTTTACGGATAGTCGCCTAACGGCAAGGAAACTCTAATCCATGATCCATCTACCAGAGGCAATTTTACGTCAACATTGTAGTCGGTGAGAGACGAGTGCGGAATTCGTTTCGACTTCATCGCAGGGATTCAAACCTGGTTCACCTCACGAGTGCTCTATCAATTAAATCACTGCGGCTCCAAAAAATATTTTTCATAAAAATTCTGAGTTTCAGGAATGACTGGCGTTGAACAACCGACCCAATTTTGAGTTTACAACTATCTATGAAATACCCTTGTAATTTTTAGACAAGAAATCACCTGTATTGTGCATTGGGATGATTGAATTAACCCGCATTTGCCTTAGTTGGAGAAGAAATCCACAAAAATCTCACACGAATAGTGAAACAAATTAATCGTACCATTCGACATCCACTTGAAATGGTGAAAATGTGTTGAAAATAAAGACATTAAACGATTTTCCATCGACTTACCTAGCTGGACAACGAATCATCGATTAGAATTTTCTCCTACTAAAACTGACTTTCTACTAAAACTGACTTTCTACTAAAACTGAACTATGTCCAGATACCTGCTTTCTTTCAATTTCAACATCTTAAAATGCGTGTGATGCTCAATCTACCCTACCTTCTCGGTTTCGTACATGTTTTCTTTTTTATTATCTTGTATAAGCTCGTTTTCCCTCTTATATAGATCAATCCGTATATTTTCCTTGTGGTAACTTGTTTGTAATTTTTCTACAACATCTCCATCTTTCTCTTTTTACTTTTTCATTGAGGAAAATTCTTCATTATAGAACCGTAACTATTAGGGGGACCTGAAATTAATCTCGTTTCGATGCATTAGATATTCGGTAGTCTTAAAAACCAATTCATTTTTTTTCGATCCTTTTCGATTCATTTTCGATCCGGCATTGAAAGATTGTTGCTAACGAGGATGAATACTCACTAAAATCCCAATCCTCTTTCCCTAGTCTAACGAACATTTAAAAATCTATATAAAATATAAATATCATGAACTTCATATTTTTTTGATTAGAATCTTTCTTGAGATATATCAAGAAAAGCGAAAAGTGTAAAAAAATTACTTGAAGCGATTAATAAAGAAATAAAATAAAAATTGGTACCTCTTAATAACATTTATTCAAAATTTTAAAACATGATAATGTTTCAATGTAAAATTTTTCCCATAAAAATTAAAAAAAAAAAAAAAAAGCTTAAAAGTACATGTGATTTAAAAAAGATGAATTTTACTTCATTTCTATTTATAATATTACATACTTTGGAAATAATCAAATTAGAATAAAAAATTACTCTGCTATGTCAGGGATTGGCAAAAAGTAGCCAAATCGCTGACCATAAAAATAAGTTTATGCTTTAAGCTGTCATGATTATAAAAATCCAAATCTGACCGTCAGTTTTTCTCGTCAAATATATAGCCACTGACCGTAATTTACGCTGTGTTAGTACAAGTTATAATCAGTTTGGGTCTTTACGTTGTTAAGAGACTCATGCTTGCGTCACTTCCAGACGAATCATGGAACGAGACAATGTAGTGTAGTGTTGCCATCTCTCGAAGAAAGTGCGGGTTGCGTGCTCGTTGTTACTAAAGTCTTAATGTGGAGAAAGTATAAGTAGTAAGTGAAAGTAGAAATGTTCTTTGGCACCTGCTGGATTCGCACCCTTTGTGTTCCTATTCCAATTCTGATCAGGAAGCTTTTTATGATAACCGTACGAATTAACTTTCTACTCATTTTGCTGGCCCCGCAGTAGACTGGTCGTTAAGACACGGTTCCCAGCAGATCACCGAAGTCAAGCGTCACAGGCTGCGGTCAGTGTGCGGGTGGGTAACCACTTGGATAAGTCCGCGTAGATACCGAAGAAGTGCGGTATTGGTCCTCATTAAACTGTTCTACCGTAAAGTGCTCGACTTCGCGTGCAGGTCGTAGGGCTACCGTAGCTTGTGTGCCATCCCCTCTGTAAAGAATCAAAATTGTGATGGCATGTCTTCGGACCATCCTCAGGGATGTTTCCAGACCGTTTCCAATAGCCCATTGTGCAGCTCTAGAACGACATAAATGAACTAAAACAACAGCAACAACAACTAATTTTGCTGGAGCTCAATACAATTACTGGCACTGCGCTTTTCTTGTCAAGAAAGGAAATTGGCTTTCTTAACAAACCCTACTAAGTTAGAAGAAGCTCGTTATAATTACAGGCACTGGGCTCTTATAGCAAAAGAGCTAGTTTTATAAATTAATGGCCAGCTTTCCAAGTTTTAGCGGAAATATCTTATAATATAGTTTGTAAAAATTCGAATATAATGGTATATATTTACCTTGATTGGCTGAGTTCAATTCTTTACACCAGGCAACTTTTTGTTCAATGCTCCTAGCCTTCAAAGTGAGGGGAAAACCTGATCTATTCTTCTTGTGAGATTTGAACAAGATCTTTAATGGATCTGTTTCAACATTTTCAACCATTTCCACATCTTGAAGCTGAAGGAAGAAAACATTCCAATAAATATAAAGATTTTTAGTCTTAAATGCTTAGAGTTCTTAGTTTTTATTTCCTTTTTCTATCAAATTTCATTAGAACAATTAAATTTTCCTTAATTAATGCAATGTTTATTTAAGGAAAATACCTACTATAAGTAAATGTTTTATTAGGGTAAAAAAAGGCTTAAAGTAAAAAAAATTGCGAATTTTACATAGTTGTATCAATTAAAAACTGCGTCATCTCAAAAATAAAATTTTAAAAACGGCGATCAGCCTATTTAGAAAAAAGTATGATCAGTTTTAACCTTTTGTTCACTTAACAATTTTTTATCCCATGATTGCTTTCACACGGAATTTCGATGATTCGATGTTCACACCTTAGCTGCTAATTATTGTTCATTATTAATTTATAATTAATTTATTCATTAATTAATTTAAGTTACAAAAGCAAACACATGCACGTACCTTCGTTAAATAAAACTTTTTTTTAGTTCCTCAAAAAGTAAGGGTCAATGGTCGATAGCTGAACTCCATAAAATGTGGTTCCAACAATGCAATCAGGACAATGATCACAACTTAAGGCTATTTCACTTTTAATGTTTCCCACCCTATTTTTATTGTGCAAATTTTAAAAAAGATTATATCATTCCTTTAGCCGTAGACAATTTTATGCAAAAAAATTTTTAACTACTTACATATTTTTTTCATTTTTTAAATCCTTAATTTTTGGAAATGTTACAAATTTTAATGTGCAAACAGTTTAAACTTATATGATATTTGAAAAGCTGAACAATAAAAATAAATAACAAAGCATAATTTATATTCAATTCTTTTTTCTAAATTATGCTTTTCGGTTAGAAAAATATGCTGCTTAATGTATAACGTGAAGTAAAAAGTTCTGTAATCTAAATATTTTTCGAACATTATTTAAATTCATTAATAACTATAACAAATAATCATTACCAATTTTTAAAGATCAATTGTCTCTGAGAATGTGGGAATTTTCATGGAAGATTTCGTTCTATCGTTTAATTTTGATCAATAAATTTAATTGTACAATTAAGCACATGTCTTCAAAAATACAATCATTATCAATTACATTCATATCAGACAATTAATTATATAAATAAATTAGGAAAAGAAAGCAATCCACATACCTTGAACAAATTAGTAACATGATAAGATTCCTTCTCTAAGGTTGAATGCTTTTCCGTTATGAAGACTCTTCCTTTAAAAAGAAATACACAACGGTCAACAGAGCTCGTCTCTGCCCCTTCAAAAACATCGAAACTGTCCTAAAAAATTAAAAAATAAAGCATTTTATTTTGATCATCACTTCATCTAACTTTGTGGGGAAACATCATGTAAAATAACAGTTCGAAATTCATTAACATAATTCAATTAATNCAAAATTAATTTCAGTTCAGGATCATCACGTTGCGAATCGGCTATTTCGTCATAGTCCACTGCAGTAGGTGTACGAATTGTTTCAACTCGAGATAACATATCAGCAGATATGTTATCTGCGCCCTTAATATAACGTATGTCGGTGCTGAACTGACTGATGAAATCAAGGTGACGGTGTTGACGTGGCGAATATTTGTCCCATTTCTGTCGGAAGGCATACGTTAAAGGTTTATGATCAGTGTATATTGTGAATAAACGTGCTTCAAGCATATGTCTAAAATGTTTAATTGACAAATATACCGCGAGCAATTCCCGATCATAAGCGCTGTAACGCGTTTCCCTAGGAGTAAGTTTTTTGGAGAAAAATAATGTTTACTAGCATGACCTGACCTTAATAAGGGTAAAACAATACGTTATAAGCGGTAGTAAGCATTCCTTAACTGTGAAACCATTCCTTATTTCCGCAATTTGGTGACTCAAATTGCTTAAGTGATTCGATTGATTATTTATGATGGTTAAGATACTAATTAATGCCACATGATTCCGTGATTTATATTTATAAATTTAAAGACCAATACATTTTTTGTTTGAATTGGCTTTTAAACGAAATTATTAGAAGGGCTGAATTAATCACTTTAATTATACCGAGTTAATTAATCAATTCTTACTTGTGTCTAAAATATTCACAGGCTTTAATGGACAGTTAAATTAGTTTCGAATATAGTTCAGTTAGTTTCTATATTAGTATGTTGCTCAATTTAAAAAGCATTTAAAACATCAACAAAGCCCATAACGACCACTGGAAAAAGTTTATATTTATTTATTTATTTACTTATTTATTTTATTTTATTTCATTTTATTTATTTAATTTATTTTATTTATTTTATTTATTTTAATTATTTTATTTATTTTATTTCATTTTATTTATTTAATTTATTTTATTTATTTTATTTATTTTATTTGTTTTGTTTATTTTATTTATTTATTTTATTTATTAATTTTATTTAATTATTTCATTTTATTGTATTTTTTTCTCCTCTTTCTTAAATCACTAAATGATTATTTCTTAAACTAAATTTTTTATTGCATGAAACTTAAAAAATCAGATGCAAATGAAGAGTAAGATATTCATTTATGATTAAGATTTTAAGTACATGTGGAAATTAAGATATTCATTATCACCTGATGGGATTAGTTAAGTTCATTACATTCAATTTCACTCTCCCAGCAGTGTCTGTCAATCAAACCGATATCAAACCGAATCCCTGATAACATATCAGAGTGCATCAGAGAAGTTTTCACTAAAAGAAATTTGTTGATTCTCCACTATCCACAATGATTCTCCACTTACGCAAATTAAAACTAAGTTCATCTATTTCATCTTTCCAGTTACCATTAACAAAATATCAAATCATGTATAATTTTTAGATAAACTTAGTTTATAACTGCAATTTAAATTTTTATTTGTCTAGCTTTTTAATTATTTAATCATTATTTTGCTATTTTATTTATTCACTTCTTATTTGTTTTATTATTTATTTATTTATTCACTATTTTGTTATTTTATTCATTTACTTTTTATTTGTTTTATTATTTATTTATTTATTCATTATTTTGTTATCTTCTTTATTTACTTTTTATTTGTTTTATTACATATTTATTTATTTTTATCAATTAATTTATTTAATTTTATTTAACCATATTCATTCATTTTTATTTTTTTAATTAGCGTTATTTATTACTATTATTGTTATTATATTCTCAATACTTTGTAATTCATTCAATAATACGTATTTCATTCATTTTGTATTAGCATCAGAAAAAATAGTTGAGAATTCGGACAATTAGAAAATTGGCATACGGAATGAAAAAAAAATTTCAAAAATAGATTGAATCAAAGAACTTACTGAAATAACACTCTTCTTGAATATATCTGCATTAATAAGAGCCGGTTTACGCTTAAAATCCATTTTATTTCATTAGTCTATAATCGAAAACAAATTGTTCCATATTCAAAGAAAGAAAAGGTGAAGGACGATTCCGCAGGGAGCTCTTCAGTCGTGGCGCCATCTTTAATGAGAAATCAAAGATAGCCTTGCCAAGAATTGTTGGGGAAGTTAAATGAAACTGAAATATCAGCTAATTTTCGTGTGCCTTTTTAATTACTGAACCTCTGTTCCAGCGATTCTCAGTTATTTTCGATTATGTAACATGAAACCTTAACAAATTGAACTTCTTAGTGGCGCATCGATATTTAGAACAACCATCATTAGCAGTGGTAAACGATATTAACCGGATTAAGATATTTGATGCAAAGAATGAAGTTCTGTTTTTACCATTTTCGTGAATAATAGTTTTAAAATTAGTTTATATCAGACAATTGAATTCACAGTTGAGAGGCAACGGACGGATTAGTTCCAACTTCCATCAAAAACTCCGCTTGTTTGTCCCAATGCTTGGTCCCTGAATTTCCTTGTCTTCTGGTTGGGTTCAAAATTACAAGGCTTCGGAATTGAACATTGGTAGCCCTAAACTTAGAAATGGGTATACTGTTCAACGCATGAAATGAAATCACTGGATCTAGTTTTTGCCAACATTTATTTGAGATAAAATCTTGTTTGTTACATTCTTAAAAACTTCATTCACTTCCAGTGAAATTAGTAAAGCAAAAATTATTTTGTTAAATGATGTAACTGAAGAAAGGTATTACATAAAACAATAGGCATTGAGTTATAAAACAAATTAATTAATAATTCTTACGTGAAGTAATATGCGTCCCAGTTTCAATAGATCGCCATGACAACCTTCAATTGCTTGAATGTATTGTAAATCTCTGCTCCTTTTATTGATACTGTGGATGAAATCTAAAGCCTTCTGCAAATCAGCCGTGTCTTCATTCAGTCGACTAGAGTATTTTATGAGTTCCTGAAAGTATTTTTGTTAAATGTATGGAAGAAATTCATTAGACTATTCTTACATCAGTTTATTGAGGATTAATAAAAAGTGCGATACATCAGAAAGCACACGCAATGAACAAATTTTTATACAATAACAGTTTAAACTAAAAAAAAGAAGAAAAATATATAAATGTACAAAAATAATCTTACTAATAAAATTAACAGTTATAAATTATACTTATTTACATAGCTGCTTTCTTTTTTAACTCTTACCTATTTCGTTCCTCCGACAGTAACTAATTACTGTCTGACTGAGTAAAGCTTAACATTCAGCATGACATTCAGTAGCCTTTAACCCTAAGAAAACAGTTTACTATTGTTCGAAATCGGTAAGAAGAGAAAAATCAATTTCGCTACCTCAAATTCAATTGAATAAACAGAAAAAGATAATTATCATTTGATATATTTATTTTTTCCACATTATCGCAATGAATTCATAAAAAAAGCTAACTATTATTTTTTAATAAATTTTTACTCATTTCGATTTTGAACCTATCAAAATTTTTGTATTATAAATAGCAAAAAATTATCGAAAAAACTAATCATGTTATATTTATTTTTCCTAAGGAGAAATAATCTCACGTTTTTTCTTTAATAATAAAATTAAATAATTCGGAAATTGCTTAATACAGTAATTTGAGATTCATTTATCATCAACAGAATTTCCTACTTTCCTACTTCCCAACAGAATTTCAAATAAATTTAGAATACTCGTTTAATTAAATAAGGAGTTAATGTTTCATAATTAATTTTCAAATTCCTTAAACACTGCAATTCTATTGTTATTTCTCAGCAGCACAAAAAGTTGAAATCTGACTTTAATAACCAAAGAAATTAATTAACTTTTTTGAAATATTCAACAGTTAATTTATAATCAAACAAGCTAGGTTTCCAAAACATACTGTGCTCTAATTTATATACCCATCATTTTCTGATAAATCACACGTAGCTATTCACCTCCAGAATTTTCGCCCCTTGAAAAATTCTTTCCCTCTGTTCGTATTAATTTCAATTAATTATAAAAAAAATACCAATTTTGCTAAATTTATTAAAATGCGTCATTAAAAATCTAAGTAAAAAAATATAAAAGGTAAGTAAAAACAAAAGGAAATTGTGATGAATTGCTATTATTTTTTTAATAGATTTTTGCATAATGTAATCAAACAAAGCCATTTTCGTAGACTTTTGTTCTTTTGTTGCATAAATATTAATTTATCTAAATGAGAGATTTTTTTTTTTCAGTTACTAGGAAATGATACTTAAGAAGTCAGGACTTACTTTTAAAGAATTCATGTACTGTGCTCAAGTGATTATTCTGAATAACTTTTGATTTAATAATCGGATTTTTCCGTAATAGGAATTATCTTATTGGTTCTATGGCTTGACCCTACTGACTGATAACTAGTTAGTGCTACTAATTAATTAGCACATTTAACATATTAAGCTTATTAACTCCGCAACTACTTGGTGAGACTAAATAGCTGCAAAACGAAACACAAAAATGTTCTTTTTCTAAATAAATAATGCTTTTTTTTCAGCTACTAATGAGGGCTAATCAAAAATATTTTGTGCATATTTATAAAGTGTTTATCAAAAGGTAATTTAATGCAAAAAATAACTATTTAATATTTTCGATTTTTTTTTTTTTTTTTTTATAATATGCAAGAAAGAAATAATTTTTTGAAGTTCATAATTTTAATCTGCTTAGTTTAAAAAGACAAAAGCCAAAATTTGAAGTTAACTGATGGATTAGTTTTTTTGAAATTAAAATTTTAAAGTTGACACTATGAGGCTCTTACTTTTCACCGCTCACCTGTCCAAACTAATGTGACCATATTTTCAACATTGCTCCATATTTTAAGGATTAAAACTTCGAATCTGTCAAAAGAGATGCGTGTTTTTTCACGAAGAAACACGTTTTTGTGTCTGATTTCGTTTTTTGAATTATCATCATCACAAATTAATAAGAATAGTTAAAGTTAGGCACTCGAATCATCAAAACTTTCTGTTAGAAATTTACTATGAGTGAAATTTGTTAAACTTTAGTCTATTGTGGGGAATTAAAGTACATATTATAGAGAATTTTCTCATATAGTACTCATTTTTTGAATAAATATTAAACAAGAACTGTATAAATAGAATTTTAAAAAATCAATGACTCGTCGAATGATGTCTCTATGCAGACAACAAGGTGAAAGATATATTTCCGAAATTGCTTCAAAATAAGAAACTAATAAACTCTTATTTCTACTGATTCATAAAATTATTTTAAAAAATGAAATTATCATATTTATTTTGCCAGTGCTGAAGTGCTCTAAAATGTTATTTCACGTTAAGTATTTTTTTTATGCATTTTTCAGAAAATTTTCATACTTGATCAAATTGCATGTTATAAAATTTGAGCTTCTATATAATTACATTTTTTAAAATTTTTTTTTAAAATGCTTACCTTTAATAAAAGCTGATAATCATTCAGTCTTTGAATTGGCAATTTTAAATGGTCTACTAGCAGTTTATCATCATCTATCATCCGACTGTGGTCCTAAAATATGTAAAAATAATCGAAACAGTTAACATTTCAGCCATATTTGATTTTAAAAATATTTTTCATTATTTCATAACATATAATGTAAATAATAATTTTTATAATGAGAAAAACTCTTAATTAAACAGATTTATAAATATCTCAAAATAATAAAATTACCGCAAATTCAAATATATTTGATTTTAAAAATATTTTTCATTACTTCATTGCATACAAAGAAAATATTAATTCTTGTGATGAGAAAATCTCCAAATCTGTGATGATAAAATTAACACAAATTCAAATATATTTGATTTTAAAGATATGTTTCATTATTTCTTGACATATAATGTAAATATTAATTCTTATGATGAGAAAATTCCCTAATTAAGCATATTTCTAAATATTTCAAAGTAATAAAATTACCATAAATTCTGCACAAAAAAAAGATATATTTTTTTAATTCATATAAGGATATTCATTCTGGTTATATTTATTCCATTATCGTTTTATATTATCGTATTATTCACATCATATATGTATCGTGAATAATATCGTTCCTTGCATTTAATATCGATCGAAAACTTGCTCAACAAATATTTAAAAGACTAACGTTCTTTATAATCTATCTTATTTATTAGAGTCAGAATATATAAATCATCGAAATAATCACAAATAATACTCTGAATATTTAATTAAATACATGACATCAAAAATATTAGTCATATTGCATCACAGACGATGCAAAAAAAAATGTTTTACTTACATCAAAGAAATCTCTTAAGGACCCTTCTCTGAGCAGTTTTTGAGCCCTCGCTTCATTCCAACAATAACTCGCATGCATATCGAAATCTCGTTCCTTTAAAATTAAAATAACATCGTTTTTGAAAAGCATATAAAGGAGTTTAATGGAACTTAAGCACTAAGTTTTACTTAAGATACATAAAACATGTATACTATTCATTTCAGTATGTTATGTTCATAGTAGTACACTGTAAAAAGAGTTTCTCAAAATTGAGTAAAAATGTGATAAAAAAAGTTTTCAAGCAAATATAGTCGAATCTGAAAACTCTATGTACTCATTATTGAAGACATGCTCAAAATGCCCAATAATGAATACATGGTGGGTAAGACATGCTCAATAATGAATACATTTCAAATTCGATTAAATTTGTTACGGAACTATTTTGACACAGCTTTGTTCAATTTTGAGAAACCCTTTTTTTTAGTGTAGTTTCTCCAAAATTTATTGTTTAAAAAATGTAGTACTTATTAATACTGATATCAAAATAAAAATCAACGTAAGGAATCGCAAAAAACACACAGAAAACAAGTCCCTGAAAACAAAGGTTTAAAAAAAACTATATTTTATGATGGTAATTACGAAACTGAAATACAAAATAATAGCGTTTTTGTTCGCTTTAAAAACTGATAAGGAGTTAAAATATTTAATTTAAGTAAAGTTATATATGTAAGAGAAATTACATATATTTATGTTCTTAAATTAAAATTAATTTATAAGATAAAAGAATGACAAAAATATTTTAAGTATTTCATTTTGATACAGTTAAATATTCACTAGTCAAAAAAGTACCATTAGTATGCAAATATTATATCACGCTACAATCAGTATTATAGTCGGATTTTTTTTTAAATCTTTAGAGCATCTGAAGAGTTTTAAAGTAGTGTTAAGTTATAAAGGAAGTTCTTTCCCGTAACCATCAAATTAGTTTTTATTCATTTATTTCTTCTAAAAAAATATTAAAAAGTACTTAAATTCAATTAATTATTCAAGCAACGTTAAATTCATAAAAATTTCAAAATTGCCGTATTAAGGAGACTTTTACTGATGCTCTTTTTACAGGGACAATTTCGGTACTGCTTTAGTGTTGAAAAGTTTTAAAACGATGTTCGAGTGACAGATAATTCTTGATCTCATTCTCTGGTCGAGCAATCATGTAAGCATCATTACAGCTGCAAAATCCGAATTTTTCTGCTCCTTTCTTTCTGTTTTAGTATACTCCATAACAACAAACATTTCTTTGTTCCAAAGCATTGCCAAAATGATTTGTGCCAATTGCGATCGCTTATCTTAAGATGGACAATTTATTAGAAATAATGAAAAGTATAGAAAAGATATTAATACCAAATTATTAAATTAAAAAAGCTAAGTTAAAACAGCACTGTACGTATTATCACTTAGTTTTATGTTGAACAACCTAAGCAATTGTATTAAGAAACACCTTATTTCAAATTTACACCTAATAGATCTTTTTATATACAAATTAAAGGGTGTAGTTAAATCTAATCTCTTAAAATGGAAAAAGATTACACCGATTTCAAGCACATTCACACAGTAAATGAATTATTTTTGCTTCTGAAAACACCAACGGTGGCGGATTTTGAATATTGCTACTCGTTTGATTACATCGAGTAAAAGCTGGCCAGAGTTGTGAAAAACAATCGAGAGTTATAGTTGCGTTTTTATACGCCGCTGCAGAATATTTCCTGAAACAAACGTTCACCGTTAAAATACCGTAAACCGGGGCGAGTCTACCCATTTTTTCAGTTTGTCAAATTTCAAGTGGTCAAACTTTTGTACATATTAAAGAAAAAAGGCTTTTAATAGGTGTTTTGGAATCGCTATTTATCCCTCTTTAAAGCTGTGAAATCGATTTTAGAAAATATTAACAGTTACGCTGTTACTGTATATTTTTATAGAACTGCTNTATTAAGTAGTTCTCTCCATTTTTGACGTTGAGATGCACTAAAATTTTTTACACTAATGGATTTACAGTATAAATCAAAATGACGCATATTTAATAATAATGGCACTTAAATTTACTAATATAGGTGACAACTATAATGAATTAATGCAATACTATTACAATTCGATGATTGCAAAGTTCTCTTACCAGCCGCAAGAAAGTTTTTCCCAGTTTGGTAGGTTCTTTTGCATGATGATTGACACCGTTCATTAGTACGCTGTAAATGAATAATAAATTGAGTATTAAATTCGTTATTTTAAAACATTCCATAATATAGTTAAAAACCACTCAGTGCTTTGGTACAGATTATTTCATCACAATTTTATTTAAATTTTCCACAACCTTAACTGCTAAATATATATCGAGTCTTAAATCATTTGATTTTATTTCGAATTTTTAAAAAAATGATCCAAATTAATGCGCGAGCAAAACTATTCAAAGGCAAATAGTATTTTCTCGCTCTAAACTTTTTTCTATACTGAAAACGCATACAATAATGTTAAAAAAAAACTTTTTTAGGGTGAAAATATGTTTAATATTCTTTCAAAAACAATTTATAATTCTGCTGCAGTTTCATTTCATCTGAAATTCTAACTATGTCTAACAAACATAACAAAAGTTCTTCAAATCTACTATATTTTAAAAATAGTATCAGAGGAAATATAAATATTTTGAGAAGTGTCCAAATTTATCTATAAATTCGCGTTCGATTTGTAAAAATATATATGAAGAATTAAACATTTTTTTTTAAAAACAAAGCATTTGATAAGAATTTAATAATTGATGTGATTAACTACATGATCTGGGGGTTAGAAGCAACAATATAAAGATAAATGAATAAAAAGTTAATTCAAGGACATGCTGTGTTATCACGATGCCTGTTTTATAACCTTAATTTCGAATAAAAAGAATTTGAAACTTTAAAATAGCATTCTCCAAAGCAAAACATTGTTAATTGCTTAAAATCTTAGATTTTTAATTTTAGATGAAAAACTGTTCTGGAATGTGATTATTTTTTAAGCTGAGCAACTATTTTGTTTATAAAAAGTTAAAATTATTAATTTTATTTTTTATATGAAGAGATCAGAGAAATATTTTCTTTAATAAACATAAAATTCTAATACACTTTTTGTAAATAGAATCTCACGGTTATGCAATTTTTCATTTCACTAAGTTTTGCCCCTCTCCATTACCATGGCTTCAGTAAATTTTGCTTTTCCCTTCTCAAGTATATTCCAATTTCTAATAAAACGTACTGCCGCCCGAATTTGTCGAAACCAAGGTAACAGAGATGATAAAAGTGTGGAGAGTTGTGAAATCGCGAAACTGTGCGGTGCCTATTCTTTTTAAAACAGTATAGACTGAGTTTAACATGTACAATACAGGGTGTTCAGTAATTATCTATAGATTTTTAGAATGTTTGAAAAAAATAAGGAGAAATAACTATGCACATTAATGGTCTCAAATTATTATGTTAATAAAAAAATTCTAAAAGTATTATGAAAATCAAGATCAATCAGGGCAAAGAGAACATTAAAATCATCTAACACCAGTTAATTTGAAAATCGTTACGAAAGTCACACTTAGAGAATAAGTTGGTTTTTAATTATATCCCGATTTCCTCTAAGTTTTTATCACCCTTAATAATTATGCGTCAATGCTTTATAACTATTTATTTCATTTAATACAAATTTTACAATCCCTAATACGCATAGTTCTTAATTTGATGTCTTACAAAGCTTTTTAAATATATATTAAGGTCCGATATTAAAGAGCACCTTATATACATACTCATATCATAAAGATTTCGTTTATAAAAATATTTTAAAACAAATTTAGTAAATTAAATAACTTTTATTCATCGTATAAATAAATGCATAATTCATACTGCATGAATTTATAAAAGTTTAATAGCATTTAATGAGACAAAGTTCAGTCTTATGTAATTTTGACTGCATGATTTTTAGAAAACTCATAACGTAAAATTCTCACTATTATTTCTTACATCAACTTTTATTTACTTAATAAAAATTAATGAAATTTTTTTTAATTAAATGAACAATTTAGTATGTTATGCAATAACATTGCAAAGCTGCAATATTTTTAAAAAAAGTAAGTCATAGAAATCGGGTAGCATTACTTGTTGTGGAAGTCACTGATGTCTTTAAAGTTACCAAACACGGAACCTTTTCTGTCCCTAAATTCTTTTGGAAGTCGGGGGTTGTCCATTTGTTTATAGTAATTTTCCACAACAAACTGCATATCCTTCGCAAAGTCTTCTTCCGTTTCAACCAATTCTTTAACTATTGCTCTGAAAATTAAAAGGTTTATTTTGTAATAATGCTAATTATTAGTTCAAAGGAGATTTATAATATCAGTTTATAGCTTCACTGTGAAAAATTCCGGACCAAATTACGATAATTTCAGTAATATTTATTTAATTAGAGTGATTTAGTGATTTTACGGTAATTTTCACTGTAAAAATTATAGTATATCAGTTTTTTTTTGTTTCATAACATGTTACGATAAAAAATGGATTTTACGGCAAAAAGTACCGGCACCCTAAGTGTCGGTAGTTTTTAATGTTATTTAATCCGGAATTTCTTACATTGTACAATACCAGATTTTTAAATTGAATATCTGCCTATGTTGCAATAAGCAGATATTCAATTAATGTTATCAAGAACAGAATTTATCCTATGAAGTGTAAGGGAGCAAAACCTTTGTAACTTAACCTGCTATCTATCTTGTATGTTGACGACAAAAATGAGTCAACTTTTTCTAACACTGCTATGGAATGCTATTTTAAGCCCTTCCTAGTTTAAACAGAATTTTTTTTTGTTTTAGTAAACTTTATATGCCGTTTTTTAATGTGCAGTGTGCAATAAAAAAGACCACCCTGAATAACCTTTGATCTAATGATAGGAATTTCACGTTTTAGGGTTGGTTCTAGCTGCTGACTTCAAATAAACTATTTAATTAGCGCAAACGATATTTCAAACAACGAAATCAGACACAAAAGAGTACTTTCTCGGAATAAATATGCTATTTTCTGACGGATTTGGTCCTCCTCTTCCCCCCCTCAAAAAGTATGAGGGGTAGTAATCTGGGAATTATGGTCCCAATAGTTCGGTCGGGAGAACGATCGATAGTATGGACCACATAATGCAAATTTTATTTTATCATAGTTCGAGAACTTTATATCATACGGAATGAATAGTTCTTATTATCATATCTCGAGAACTTTTTAAGTGAATTAAAAAAAAAATTGCACACAATTATAAAATTCGTTTATCTAAAATTTTCAAAAAACACTTTTAGTAAATATTTATTATTTTATATAACAGCGGTCAAAAAAACATTAAATTGTATGGTATAGGATTTTTTACATTATTTTGAATAATGTAGATTTGCATAGAAAAACAACACAAAATTTGATCGAAATCTGTTGAACCAAAAGAGCGAGAAACCGAATTTTGAAAATACGACCGTTTTGAAATTCGATTTCTCAGGATTCGACTGATTTCATTTTTTTTCTTTTGCTATAATAAATTATTATAATTATTTTTTTTTACTATAGCAAATTATTTAGAGACAGTTTGTGATAGATTTTTACATAAATTGACTTCAAAAAGGAGCTACGCGAACTTTCGCTTGATAAAAACAACCTAAATAAACATAAAATAATGAGAAGTGAAGAGAGAACTATTACTTCTTCAAAAACTTTAGATTGTGTCTAAAATTTAATATGTTTACTGTTTGTCTAATAAACAACCACATATTTCTGAAAAGGTTATGAATCTCAATGTTTGTATTAACAAATTAAAAGCAACAGCACTATCCAATAATAAAGCCAATAATATTTACTTAATATCAGGCAATAATAAAGGATTATTTTTGTAAAACATATGCTCATAAGTGTAACAAAATAAACTTTAAAATGTTGAAACGATAGTATTTCCCTAATTTTAATAATTGCATCTGTTTCTGCGTAGTGATAGTTTATGATATTCTTTATTATAAACATCCGTCATGCATCATAAGCAAAATAAGAGTTTTAAACTCATTTATTGATTATTGAAATTATTAAAAAATTCAAAATTTACTCTGGTAATTAATAATTAATATCATTTCTTAAAATATCCATTAGAGTTTTGCTAAATAAAATGATAAATTCGTAATAAAAAATATAAGTACATTTATTTAAACAGTCTTCACTGGTGGTATAATAGAAATAAATGTACAAGAATAACATGATATAAGATATGATAAAAAAAAAAGATTTATTCCTCTCTATAAATTGTCTACTTCTCTAAGTTGACCACTAAAGCAATGCACCATACGAAATCAACTTACATAGGTTCCACTGAATAAAAATCAACTGCTCCTTCATTTTACTGATTATATTTTAAGACATAATATTAAATCATAATATTATATCATAATATTTTAAGATATAACATTCTATAGAGATCAGCTCTCATCATCGTCTTTAATTTGGTGTGCTATTTATATAGGAGACATATTTTATTAGCTAAAGACATAAATTTAAGAGAAAAAATGTTAAGACATACTAATTTATGCAGGTTTGGACCAATATACCAAAATTTTACAGATTTAAGACATTTCATAAAGATAAGATTAGGTCATAATGTGAAGCATTATACATAATGGTACAATATGTATTATCAAACAAAGAGCACAATGTATGGGTCTGGCTGCCTATGCGGGCATTCTAAATTTTGCAAATATAAATCTGCCTTCCAATTATCGTTTCAATATATTATATTAATTAAAGTCTTAATATTTAAGACAAAAGTATAGAAAGGCCTCATATTTAAATTTATAGAAGACCTCAGATTAATATTTTACAGAGGGTGTGCTCTAATCACCGTCTTTTATAAACTGTTAGAAGACTTAAATATATTTAACAAATCTACATTTAAGAAATCGATCGGGAAACGACGTATAATTAAGAAGAGAGGAATATATCATTTTGAAAACATTTGTAAGATAGCAATTTCTGGAAACTTTATTCAAATTCATTAAAATTTAGCTTCAGTATTAAAACTTTACAGGACCATTGCATTGAGTTGAAAAGTTTTTCCTTACAGTGTAAAAAACTTCCGGATGAAATTACGGTATAAAATACTAACGCTTTGGGTTCATCATGTACAAAATACCTTTACGGTAAAATAACTCGTAAAATCCCTTATCCCCGTACAATATTGTACCGTAATTTACACAGTGATATTCACTTAATTAGAATGATTCAGTGGTTTTACAATAGTAAAAATTTTGATACATCATATTTTTTTGTTTCTCAACATGTTCCGGTAAAATGATTTTTACGATAAAAAATACCGGCATCCGGAATTTTTATACAGTGTAGAATTCATATTTGCAGTCACTTTTTATTTTAGGAGGGCAACATATAGGGTATTAGATTGCTTCTGAAACATTAACACAATAATCTATACTTTACATGGCTAAACAAATAGGGTGTATACGAACTCTCTGTTTTTAATGGCTTCCATTTCTTTCGGGTCGAATTCTGCTTCTGTAACCACGTAGCTGCCCAAGGTATCCCGGGCGGTGGACTTTTCTAGGTAGCAAGCAGGTACCCATCCTTCTCTTGGAGACTCATCGATGCCCATAGGGACAGTTCGAACTAGCCATCTAAGAAATACAAGTAAAACGCTCATTATATTCCAAGTTTTATACACTCTCAGAAAAATTAGTTGAAATTGGAGTTATATTGGTCCAACGTTGAATCCAATTGGTATCATGAACCTTAATATTGGGAAAATTTTGTGCAAGCTTAAATTGACACATCAAAGTGAACCATAGTATTGAGCTATAAAGTTTTAGAATTACGATAATATGGCTCAATCGGGCACTATATTAAACTAGTTACCTGAACAATATTAATATGGTTCACCTCGCTCCAAACTTTCTAACTGTAGATTGATTAACGAAAATAATTTTTACGAAATGGATGAGATAAAACAATTTGAATGATAAGAAAACGTATTTAGAGAAAAAAATCATAAAGTTACTTTTTCTTTAAAGAAAAACTATGAATTTCTGTAAAAATAACTCATTTAAAACGTTCACGTTGGAAGATAGTTACAGAAATCGATAAAAAATACATTATTTATAAATAAATACTATTTTTTATTCATCAATATTTGGGGGGTGGGACCGGAAAGTGTCGTTTCGGTGCATTAAATATTCGTTAGTCTTAAAAACCAATTCATTTTTTTTATCCTTTTCGATTCATTTTCGACCTGGAATTAAGAGGTTGTTACATTATTGATCAAAAAAAAATCTTGATAATAATTATCAAATGCACCGAAACTACATTACTTTCCGGTCCTCCTAATATTAATTGAAAACGTTCAAATAATAATTATTATTACAATAAATAAACATTCATCATTATTATTTTATTATAATATATTAAAAGTGGTCTCAAATCAATGTTGAACTGTGATAATCAACTAAAACTTCAAAATTGAATAAAAATTTCAATATTTAAAAATTTTAACAGCAAAAATTAATCCATTTAACTTTGAATTTGTATTCTTTTTTTTCCTGCTGAGACATTCTTAGAATAATTTACGACTTTCTTAAAATGATAATAATTTATGATTTTTTAAAATAAAATTGAATAACTAGAGATTTTTGACTTGTAAGTTTGGCATTTCTTATTTAAAATATGAAACCAAATTCTACTTACACACTCAAAGGAAAATCGATTTTTTTTAAAACCATAATACCAATTACTGCACTAAAATACGATGCAAATTTAGAAAGAAAAAAAAACTTCGGATGGATTTGAATTGTACCAAGTTTTCCATTTAAGTTTAACCATAATACCATAAAAAGAAGTTTGAAAATAATTAGCGATAGCACAAATTTCTCTCAGAAGAAACCTATCTCTTCCAAAACACTAGAAGAAACTAAACCGAATGGAAAATGACTAAAACAGTAGTTCGGCACAAAGTTTTATTAGCTTAAATTAAAAGAAATTAAATTATAATTCAGTACCAGAAGATTAAAAGTTTTCCATATCTATTTTTTTAAATAATTATTTTCATGTTATTTATTTTAGTTTTATGCCAAGTTTCGTATCATATTATTTAAGAACGAGTTTGAAAACTCATACTTAATATTATTTGATCATAAAAATTATCATGCAATTTGTAATTGTAAATAATACGATATGTGATTTGTAGTACTGTATATGGGATTTGTTAATTTAGTAGTTCTCATAAAATTTGATTATGATATTTTAACTGTTCTTAATATTATTATAAAATTCGATTTTGCTCTACGTATTTGAAGAACGACAATTATTTTTATTTCTTAAGAAATACATCACATTTATTTATCTTTCCAATTATCGTTTTGCAATTTTCACTTATTATATATAGCGTATGAAAAGCTTAAATGAGCACAATTAATCATAAATTAGATTGCAATTATAAACTGCAAAAAAAAATTTAATATTCAACTTACAAAAAGAAAAAATAATATCTTTCATTTCTTCCACTTAGAAATGAAAGAAAGTTTCCCATTTCTTTCGATATGCAGAAAAAAAGTATGGTCAAAATTGCCAGAATATGGTAAATTTTACCATGCGTCTGGCTCAATGGGAATACAAAAAAAGTTTGATTATTTTAACCGAAGCACTTCTGCTACGACTTTCAAAAAATTGACAATAAAATATAATTTTATAATAAGTGATAAAATTTGGTAAATGTGATGAAAGTTTAGAAATTTCATCATAATACCCTAGAACATGGCATAAAAACAATTTTTTCGGGTTAATATGCTTTATAGTTTTGTATATTTTACTAAATGGGTGATAATAAGAACTATAATTTTGAAAATCAGAATTTCCGGTAAACTATTTCCGCATGAACGAAAAAATTACCAAATGACTAGTTTAAATACCATATACACCAAATAGCCATTACATTATGACCACCCTGCTAATAACCTGTAGGATCACCTTTAGCCCTCAAAACTGCTAGCACCCGCCGTGGCACTGATTCCACAAGGTGCTGATAGGTAGTCTGAGGTATTTGGTACCAAGCGCTCACCAACTGGGCCTGAAATTCCCTCACATTGCGAGGGGGTAGCGTGGCAGCACGAACTTGGTTTTCCAAGTAGGACCACAAATGCTTTATTGGATCAAGGTCAGGTGAATTTGGGGGCCAAGACATGACTCTAAAATCACTGGAATGTGCCTCGAACTAATCCATGAAGATTCAACCCTTATGACATGGTGCATTATCCTGTTGGTAAACACCATCCCCAGCAGGAAAAACTGTTGCCATTAATGGGTGAACCAGGTCTGCAACTATGTTCAAGTAGCTTACAGACGTCAGGGATTGTTCTATGAGGATTATGGGTCCTAATGTGCCCCATGAAAACATTGTTCCTGGGCGAGAAACCGTAAAAACCTGGGCGAGCCCATTGTTATAGATGGAGGGTGGTCATAATGTGATCGCTCTTGGGTGTATTTTGATTTTACTAAGCAGAATAGTGGGTAAATTTTTTAACCAGAAATATCTTCACCTTACAATACGGCAATTTTATCAGAATTTTTTCTCCGTGTTTCTTTGATTTTTTTTCCACCGTAAAGGAAACTTCCTAAAACTAAATAAAACAAATCCCTAAAATAAAACAAATTCCTAAAAAAAAACTAAAAATAATAATTTCTAAAAAAATTCCCAAAAATAATAGAACTACATGTAGTTTGGTTCAATTTGGCCTCTTATTAGGACTTGCAGTGAATTGGAACAATATTAGGATTCAAAGAAACTTAAAATATTTCTAACGGCTAAATTTAATATAAAGGGACGTCTTTAACTTTCCTATTATACTAAGCTTCTAAATGTTCATTACTTAGAATACACGTTTTAAAGCTAATCCATGTGGATTTATTTGTATACTGTTATTGTAAGCATCGTAAAAAAATGTAGAATGAAGAAAATGTTGTTTTTCTGTGAGATCTAAAAGCGGAAAGCACATGTCAAGTTTTTAGGGTAGTGTGCCAAAACTGTCTCTAGAGACATATTTGTAGCAGAAGGGTTTGTTCAGAAAGAGAGGGTGTAAGAACTAAATTAAACTGTGACTATTAACATTTAAACTCCCACAATGTGTGCATTTTTTTTCTATCATGATAAAGTATATTTATTTTGAACAAGGAGAAAAAAATTCTTGTAAAATTATCGTTCTGAATGGTAATGACATTTCCAGTAAAAGAAATATCATAATTTTGGTAATAAAAACCAAAATATACGGTATTTAAACGGTTCGTTTAGAAATTTTTCTGTACGTATCGTAATGGTTTATCCAAAAATCTTCTTTTCAAAATAATGGTTCTTATAACAGCACATTTAGTCAAACATGCAAAACTGAAAAGCAATTTTAACAAAATAAATGCTTTTCATGCCATGCACCAAAGTATAGTTATAAAATTACCAAATTGTGCCATCTTTACCAAATTTTATTACATTACAAATTTTATTACTACAAATTTTATTTTAAAATCATATTTTATTGTTTTATTTACAAAAGTACTAGCTTTGTAGGGTTCCCCTAGAGCCAGAAACATGGTAAAATTTACCGAATTCAGGTAGCTTTGACCATATTTTATTTATCACAGAAAGCATTGAAAACATTTCTGCCCAGAGAAAAAAATCTCCTAAAGGAAGAAAAAATTCCCTAAAGGATATTTGAACAATTAAATTATATTTTACTAAAAATAATTACAAGTTTTACTTGAAAATAAAAAAATTGTAGCAATTAATTATCGGAAAAAATAAATGCTTTTTATTTGACAACCCTAAAGGACATTTTAATAATCTTTTTTTTAAAAAAATAATTATTAGTTTAACTTGAAAACCTAGTAAACCTCGTAACAAAACTCGAATAAAACAAATAAAGAATGAAAACAATTATCTAAATAAATATAACATAAATTTTATTTTTTCTTTCATATTATTTTACAAAACATTCATGAACCCTAAAGAGTTTTTAAACTATCTTTCATTAAAAATAATTATAAGTTTTACTTGAAAACAAAAATAGCTAGCAAATAATTAGTAAATATTATTTTTAAGAAATTAGTTACAAAAGACTGTTAAAATAAAATAAAAAATAAAATTGTAATTCGCTGTAAAAATTTTGGAACCACTTCCAAAACTTTAATTCATTACCCTCAAAGAACATTTAAACTGCTTTTTTTTTAAATAATTATGCATGATATTTAAAAAAAACTAACAAATAATTAATGAAAACAATTATTACATAGATTTGATTCAATAGTTTATAATTAAATAGTCCTAAACGACAATAGGTTTTTTTTAATAAAAAATAATTTTGAAGTTTACTCGAAAAAAAACTTTATACAAATAATTTAAAGAAATAAATGAGCAAAATCAAAATACACAGAATATTAATTATTTTAAATTCAAAAAATATCATTAAGAGAACAAAACAAAACTATTAAAATTTTAATCACCCACACTGAGTGAGTGGGGAATTTTTTCTATAATGCTTAGGGACATTTATTTGTTATCTAAAAACTCAACAACCCTAAAAAGATTTAATTAAGTTTTAATAAAAAAAATAACATAATAAATAAGTTTTATTCTAAAAATCGTTTTCATTTTTACTTCCTAGCGAGTTAACTCGATAATTTTTACTAAAACAGTAATTGAAATAAATGAATAATAAAATATTAAATATAAATAATGTTGGTCAGTTTAAATGCTTAAAAATCTCATTAAAAACGCTTGCTTGAGTCAATTGCTGATGTACTTGAAACTGTGTCAATAAGCAATTTCAAAATTACCTCCTAGGTTTGGAAGCATCAATAACTTCCACCTGTTGTCCTTCTTTCATGACCACTGCTTCTTCGTCACTTCCCATGGGTTTAAAGTCCATAATGGCAACGTAAACGTCAATACCCTGCAAAGGCATTAAACACATCATCAGGCCAAAACTCAGATAATTGTTTTTTTATAAATAATCTTTCGATAATTCTTTAAAATAGTCTTTAATAACTGACTTTCATCATTCGCTAGGTACAGTTAATCATCAGATATTTTTAAAAAAAAGCGATAATAAAACACAAACAATGATTTCAACTTGAAAACAATAATTTCAGATAGAAATTGATTCGGTAATATATACTACTTGCCAAAGTAGTAAAAACTTCATTAGCGTTACAAATTAAAATAAAATAAAAAGTCAATATGTTTCAAGCGCTCAAAACAAGGGCCCTATTATCAGGACCCACCAATAGGTGAATGAAGTGTCAGTAAGTCTTGGCCCTTGATTGGTGGGCCTTAATAATGGGCACATTGATTCAAGAGCTCGCGAAACATACCGACTTCTTCTATCATAAGTTTTGAAGTTAATGAAGCTTTTCTTTTAACAAGCAAAACCCTACGTTTTTTAAACTTAATGAATATAGTAGTTACTTTTCAGTTTAAACATTTTTTTATGCTAGATGAGATTTTATGCTGAAATTAACTTTTAAAGCTAATTTCATAACACAATATATATAATACTTTATGTGTTGTAAATAATTGTTTATGACCAATATGATTCTATACAAGTAATTTTTTTAGTAACTCATTTTAAAAAGCTGCGGATATCTTAGTATCGAACACATTTTCTAAGAGAACAAAAATGTGCTGATTCAAAATATGCAGGCCATTTATCTCAGTCACTCAGGCTTGCTTAAATATATTTTTTATCCATTTATATTTACTAGAGCATAATACAATGAAAATTCATGAACATATCATTCGGTAAAAAAACGTCGATGCACAGCCTTCTTTTTGTTTGCTAGCTTCAATCGTGTGATATTCGAAAAATAAAACTTATTGAATAAAAAATATTGTTTTGTTAATAAGAATTAATAAAAATGATATCTAAAAATCATGGGTTATATTAATATATATAATCATGGGTTGAATTAATAATACTGAGCAACAAGCTATAGATATCTGGTATGTTGTTTACCTTTTCCAGTTTCTGCTTCGATTTTCCGCGTTTCTATTCTTTTATTTTATGTTGATTTCAAATTTGAAAACCGTTTTGTTCCACCACTTCACTTTTTTGAGAGTTTTACAAAATTTATTTTTCATGGAACACCGTTTAATTTTCGGAGAATACTATTTAAATTTTAATAATTTTTATGAAACACTGTACTGTTTAAATCGATTAATTATAATGGAATATTATACTGCTTAAACTTATTAATTTTAAAGGAATGCTGTTAAAATTTTATTAATTTTAAGGGAATCTTGTTTAAATTTTATTAATTTTAATGGAATTCACTTCCATTGGTTACAGCAACAACACATTTTCATCACAGACACAAAACTTTTGTGAATTTCTTTGTAATGATTGACATTTTTATACTAGAACCACAGAAAAAAAGCCTTGTAAAAAAAAAAGAAGAAAAAGCAAGGAAAAAAAAGTACTGGGGAAAAATCATCGGGAAAAAAGCTCTACTTTTACAATTATTTGAATTTTATGATCGATTTGATTCAGGCTATTAAACATGAATTCTATATAGTTAAATATTTATTCGAATGTAAATATAGATACATTTTAAAAACCTTGGAGCTTGCCGAAAAAAACTTTAAACGCATATTCTGATTTTTCTTCATTGTATACATTATGAAATTATATTATATACATAATAGTATTATAATGTATCAATTAAATCAATGTAATACAATGTACAATGTAATACACACAACACAACACAATGTACAATGTAATACAATGTAAATCAATGTAATTAAATCAATAATGTATCAATTAAATATAGTTTCTCTTGAGGCTAACTTTGTGATAGGTTAAAAATACTGACAAAAAATATTCATTTAACACAATTCAGTTTAATACAATTTTTTTTAAATCGCTTGTTGATAAAGCATTATTACAACGCTGGTAAAAAAACAACAAAAAGTAATTACTGGAATTCAGAAAAATTATGGAGCTGCTTAAGTGCCCTAAAAGTTTTGTTAAATAGTATGAAGTACATAAAACTACTCCCATGAAATTTAAATTAGTCCTCGCACTTAAGTTATTCTTTTATCTAATTTCATTATACTCTGTTGGAAGATTCAAATTATTATTAATTATCAAATTATATAAATATGCTTTCAAAACAATATGAAAGCTTTTAAAAGTTAAACTCGTTGGAAAGATTTTTAATTCATACTATCTTTTACGATATATATCATAGAATTATTTTAAAAAAAGGGTTATAGTTTCGTAGTTCTAATGGAATCCTATACTTGGCAACATATTTTGATAAATAAGGAGAACATTTGCTCTTGAAAAAGAAACAACTGTATGACGTTGCAAGAGCATTGGATTTAATTGGACCGCTAAAAATGGCGCGTCTTATGCTGACATGTCCTTAACAAATCAAATGCGAGATAAAGATTTTTTTAACATTTGTTTCTCTCTAGAAAAAAATCGTCAGCCAGAAACAATAATTATTATTCTTTCATCATGAATTTTTTTAAATGCGAACAGAAAGACGAATATTTATAATGATTATAGCTAATAAAAACTAAATATATTGGTTAATAACAAATTAACCAAAGTTCCAACAATTGTATGCGAAGTGACTCTGGATTTAAGGAAAGTAAAAGTAAGTTGAATAAATATAAGCCTTTTTTTATTCATTTACAAAAACTGTATATAATTTCAAGTGATTCTCAAGTGGTGTACCTATCCGGCTACACATATTTTGAATATTAGGGGAGAGAGGGGTCAATTGTAACAGGGTACGATTGTAACAGAGCAAAAATTTCGAGTTTCGGGTTCTTGATTTGGTTCCTAGGTGGCGCACAAGGTGTATTTAATAAATCTAGATATTTTTACGTTACGTAAGTACTTTTTTTGGTATAAGAATATTATACTGCAACAAAGTAATTTTGTTTAAACAAATAAAAATTATTAACCAAATATGTAAGTGGACACCTTAATTAACATTTCAATAAAAAAATTAGTTTTGTTAATTAACTAGCATTGCTTTTAACAAATGAAGCTGAAATGGCGTCTTGGGGACGATTGTAACAGCTGAAAATAAATAATCTTATGTTTACAAACCATTACTTAACTCTTTAAGAATTGCATGTGCATTATTTCTTTGTCACCTTTCACGGCATAAATTAAAAGTTTTAACGCCTTAAAGTTAAAAGTTTAACTCTTTAGGTCTCTGCTCATTATTATTTTTACTCCTAAAATATCACTACTATTTTGATCAATAAAAAAATATATCACAACGATGATAATATGCATAATTAACTATGTTTTAGTTGAATTTATGAACTGTTACAATTGACCCCGTAAGTGGGGACAATTGTAACAAGTGCACGACTGTCAAAAATTGTTAATAACCAATATAATAACATTTAAAATAAGGTTTTAATTTTTTTCTAGTAGAGGATAGTCTACTTTACTCGTCTGTCAATTAATACTAATAATATATTGGATTTTTTGTTAGTTAAAAATAGTTAAGTAAAAAATGTTACAATTGACCCCGCTCTCCCCTGCAGAAAAGTTATAAAAATCTAAAATAAAATCGGCACGAATTGACCTTAGTTTTCTATGCAGTGTAATTCTCAGATCATTTCCAAATTCCTGTCCTGTTTTGAGTAATCTTTATCGCTATAAACAATGTCAGTGATCAAACCTGGTGACGCTTAACCTTGATACGATCAGAGATTTCCAGAGATATGTTTAAAGTAAACATTTAAATGTTCTAAATGCGGGTCTCTCGTCAATTCCTTCTACTCGAACGTAGGCAGTTCTCCAAGGAGTCGTGAATGATATCCATTGTACCTCAAGAGTTTACTCATTGAAGCGGAAATCAATAGGGTTACTGTTTCCACCTGATTCCCTAGAGTTATTTTAAATGCATCATTCAGTGTTAGAATGATAATTGGCCACACATCAAGAAATTAATTGCAGTTAACAATTATTTTTCCTTCTTCCCTCAGCAGTTCAAAATGTTGTTTACGCGAAGGAAAAAAATTCCGGTAAAATTAACATACTTTATTGTAATGATTTTTGATTAAAAAAAACATTCTAATTTATAAACCAAAATAAATGTATTTAAACCATTCGTTTGGTAATTTTTACGTTCTTATGATAACGGTTTACCGGAAATTCCGGTTCTTAAAATTATAGTTCTTAAAAACACACGTTCTGTAAAAAAATACAAAACTTAATAGTTAATTTAACCGAATTAAAGGTTTTATGCCAAGCCGTAAAGTATCATAATAAAATTACCAAATTTTTATCACGTAGCATGAAACCACATTTTATTGTGAACTATACCAAAATCATTGCCAAGGCGCTTCAGTAAAAATTATCGAGCTTTTTATATAGCTTTTTAATGCTTCCATTCAGTCAAAAACACGATAAATATCAACATATTCTGGGAGTTTAAACCATACGTTTTTCTCAGGGTTAGCTGCTTTCTGTTTTTAATATAAATGTTTCTTTCTTTACTTTTAATACTACGATCTGTTTTTAATATAAAATGCAATTAAAAAAAGAATATTTTATCTATCCTTTCTGAATATATTTTATACATAGGAATTAAACTTTGAAATATTTTGAATAATACAAACAAAAGAAGTCAGACACATGCTTTTATTGCTTGAGAGTTATTAATTAATAGAACAAGTAATACAGATAACATATTTTTTTATAAACATTAATACTTGTCTACAATAATAAAATGAAGAGTTTGTTGGCATGTGCGTGTCTCTTTTATAACTCTAGAACTATTTGTGATAGCGACACAGTGGGTAAAAGGGGCAATTTTACCCCCCCCCATTCTGAAAATCAGGAGAGACATTTAAAAAATGGAATTTAAAATTAAAAATTGGCTTAGAGATAGCGCCATTGATATAAAAGAAATTGCT